AGTTATTATACCTTTTCATATGTTTCGGTAATTTTTCATAATAAATGGGGTAGGGGAGATCTGAAAGCTCTAATATGACCATTGGTGGTCCAATATACATTTTTTGTATCTTAAATGGAAGAATACATGTACAAGAACAGATTTGATCAAAATTGCAACAACCAGTCAGCATTAAACTCAAGATATAAGGAACTATATGTTACTGCTGAAAGCGAAAATGATCAAAAATGCCAAATTTTGTCCTTAATTATCTTATTTCTAGACACTAGTACACTAATGAAGGTCCTGAAACATCTGAAAAACATTAAATAATACATAGTGTTAATATTAAATGGCTAGAGGTTTGTTAGAGTTGAACATTTTGACTTTTTGTAGTTTCCATTTTTAGCCATTTTTTTCTCAAAAATTCAAGGTATGTCTTCTTCGGACCAGTATTTAGATATGTTCGCAAGAGTAATATGCTTCGCAGGCGAAATCCCTTATGCAGGAAACCCTAATAGAATGAAAAATAAAGAGAAACTCCATCCAGCTCACAAAGTCATTTCTTGCACTATTCTCACACCTTCCACCCCGAGTACCATCTCTCTACCAGATATTGCGAAACTTCGAGAAAGAATTGTCAATGGACTGCTTTTTCCGCCTTAACGCAAAGATGACTCAGAGTTGAGCCATAAATGACATGGAGAAATGAGCGCATATTTACGTGTTTGTGTGGTAAGAAGTGGTTGCAATTTGTAGGGGTATAGTATGTATTGTTGTACGAGTATGAATATGAACACGTTGCTGTCTATGTCACATCTTCCACACCTTTTTCAAATATCCCCTATGCCCAACGACAACGTAATGACTTTTGCGATGTTTTAAACTTGACCCTGAACTGATTTTGCACCACTTTGCAAGAGTAGTGATTATTCAGCCAATCCATGTGAATGAATGACATACTATTGCATAGAACAGAAATGTGGCTTTATGGTACATAGAATGAAACGAATGCAGTCAACGCTGGTTTTATTTTTTCTACAAATAACACACGGCCCCGTGCACTGATGCACCTCGTGCGATTTTTATAATAAGTTTGGCCCTTTTTGCAAAAGAAATGATTACAGTAGTGGCCCAACCAAGATCCAATGTCAATAAATGAAATACCATTGGAAAGAGGAGACATGGCATTCACTAGTTTCACTATTTGTTGCGTTTTTATACGCGCTGTATTGTACATATGTATTATTTATTTGCGTCTATTCATTTACTCTAGACAGGAACATGGCATACAATTATATAAGGTAAAAGAAAAGAATAATATAAAAGTTGCAGGTTCAAAAAGTTAAAATGCCTTATACCGTGGTCACATATACTCCGATTTTCAGCCCCGGCGCCCGGCCGATTGAGTATTGTGTTCAAAATTGAATATAATTTGAACAAAATACTCAACCGGTCAGGCGCCAGCTGATAAATCGGTGCAAATGTGCCCCGGGCATACATTTAATGCCGTGGTCACATTTGCTCCGATTTTTACTACGGCCCCTGTCCGATTGAGTGCTTTATTCAATTTTGAACGAAATACTCATCGGCCGGAGCTAATGTGACCACGGCATTAGTCTATCGCCTTATACATTTCATTAAAGAGAGATTAAGATCCAGCGAGCAAGGTCGAGAAATATTGTTTGATTTTTAGATTATTTTCGGCCCATATCATTCCAAGTCATGGAAATGATCCGAAGGTCAATTGTTCAAAGAAAGAGGTGCATTTATTGGCAAATACCCCTATGGTCAAAATGAATAATTCTTAGGTGTAAGATGAAGAATAGAATATCATATAACTCTTTGGAAAATATTAAAGTGCTCGGGCACACATAGGCTGAGATAGGGGCAATTTAGTTCAGTAAGGTTTTATTGACTTACATGGGGCTGTGCATCATTGATTTAACATGAGGATATCAGCAGATCCCAATAGAGGCCATTGGTTTCCATTTATTATCACAAAAATACCCAAAATATACTATGACCTGAATCGATTGCAAACTTAATAATTTCACACTATGACACAAATGGTTTATCTCGTCAAATGTGTAAATATGAAGTTTGCAATCGATTCAGGTCATACTTAAAATTAAAAGACTGTACATTTTTTATCATTTTTTCCCTACAAGATGGCTATAGAAAATGCTCCAAAAACAACTTTAACACTTCATGCAACTTTGTAAAACCAAAGAATATACTGTTATATTTCATTATGTAGTAACATATTTGGATAAGATGTAGGGATGCGTAGGATGCAAATGGATTTTGACAGACACAAAAATACTTCCTGGTTTGGAATCTATGCCTCTACACTTCATGATTGAATTATGACCCTAATAAGTACTGTAGCCTATACACGGGTAGTATCTAAAGCCCCGCTATGATTTAAAAATCGCGAGCAAGTTCCCGCTGAAATCGCGAGGAATAAAAAGAAGTCATGGGTTCTTTTTTGTGTTCTTGAATTGTATGATTTACAAAACGTTTTCTTTTAATTTTTCCCAATGATTACATGGTATTTGGACTAAAAAGCAACTGCTGGAAAAAATGTATCACGAGCGGTAGTTCTGTGGTTCGTTATTTGTCAATTGAAGAGAGAAAGTATCATTTTGAATCTTTATCTATATATTTCTATACGTTATTGGTGAAGAACGATGTTGTCCTGTGGTTGAAATAACGATAGTGATATGAAATAAAGATGTACCGAGTTTCCCTTCTTAAAGCTTTACAGAACATTTTATATTTAAATTTTATCATATCCCTCAAGGCCCCGCTTCTAGCAGGAGCAATTAAGCAAAGATCCCGCTGAAATCAGGAGGAGGCCCCGCTGAAAACATGAGGAGATCCCGCTGAAAACAGGAGCAAGTGTCTCTTAAAAATGGAGTGAATCCCGATTATACCCTGAACATCTCCCACTTTCGTACCCACCTTGATCGACTATTGTACCCAGTTTGATGAATACATTATTTGTCAATATAATTCTCAATAACAGCAAACACAACTGTTTAATATAGTTCATATTATGATACGTTGTTATGGAAAACTGCAGTATCATTTTTCCATGCCATTTTACAGAATAAGAAACATCATCTGAGAAATGTGATGAGTATTAGATCGGACGAAATGAACATTTAACCTCATTTTCATAATTTGAAGTAAAATAGGTTATGGAATGATTTGAAGTGCAATATAGGATATATTGTGCTCAAAAATTCTGTATTGGCCCGAGATGAAATCAAGTGGAAATTCAGCATATCGAGAGCACAATATATCCTATGTTGCGCTTCAAATCGTTGTATAACGTTTTTTATCGTGTGATTTTGCTACATAGTCCATAGGAAATATCCTGTATTCTCTGTATTGCAACTGTCCCCTCTGTTCCATCTTTGAGTACAAGTCGATATTCAGTAAGATACACGAATAAGCGTGCGTTTAGGTCAACATAAAATGATTTAGTCAGAATAATGTTTATGAATATTATTCCTGTATCAATCTCCTGTTGCTTACTTGCTTGCTCGCTTCCTCCCTTCCTTGCTTCTTCGCTTCCTTCCTTCCTTGCTTCCTGGCTTCCATCCTCGCTTCCTCACATCCTTCCTTCCTCGCTTCCTTCGATCCTTGCTTCCTTCCTTCCTCGCTTCTTTCATTCTTTGCTTCCTTGCTTCATTCCTTCCTTGCTTCCTCACTTCATTCCTTCGCTTCCTCCCTTCTTTCCTTCCTTCCTTCCTTCCTCACTTCCCTCCTTTCTTTCTTGCTTCCTTCCTTGCTTCCCTCCTCGCTTCCTTCCTCCCTTCCTTGCTTCCTCGAATTCTTGCATCCTTCCTTCCTCGCTTCCTTCCTTCCATCCTTGCTTGCTTCCTTCCTTTCTTGCATCCTCCCTTCCTTGCTTCCTCACTTCCTTCCTTCTTCGCTTCCTTGCATCCTTCCTTTCCTTGCTTCCTCCCTTCCTTGCTTCTTTCCCTCCTTGCTTCCTTCCTTCCTGGCTTCCTTCCTTCCTTGCTTCCTCGCTTCTTTCCTTCCTCGCTTCCTTCTTTCCTTGCTTCTTTCCTTCCTCGCTTCCTACCTCCCTTTCTTCCTCGCCTCTTCTTTTCTTGCTTCCTTCCTTCTTTGCTTCCTTCCTTCCTCGCATCTTTCTTTCCTCGCTTGCTTCCCACCTTACTTCCTCGCTTCCTTCCTTCCTCGCTTCATTCCTTTCTTGCTTCCTCGGCTCTCTCTTTCATCGCTTCCTTCCTTCCTTCCTTGCTTTCTCGCTTCCTTCCTTCCTCGCCTCTTCTTTTCTTTCTTCCTTCCTTCCTCGCTTCCTTCCGTCCTCGCATCTTTCTTTCCTCGCTTCCTTCCTACCTTGCTTCCTCGCTTCCTTCCTTCCTTGCTTCCTCGCTTCCTTCCTTCCTCGCTTCCCTCTTTCCTTCCATGCTTTTTTCCTTCCTCGCTCCCTTCTTTCCTCCTTCTTTGTTTCCTCGCTTTCTTCATAAATTTCTTCCTCATTTCCTTTCCTCCTTCCTTCCTTGCTTCATTCCTTCCTTCCATGCTTTCTCGCTTGCTTTCTTCCTTGCCTCCTCGCTTCCTTCTTTCCTTCCTTCATTGCTTCCTTCCTTCCTTTCTTCCCTCCTTCATTCCTTGCTTCCTTCCTTCCTCGCTTCCTTTTTCCTCCTTCCTTGCATCCTCGATTCCTTCGTTTTTTCCTCGCGTCCTTCCTTTTTTGCTTCATTCCTTCCTTGCTTCCTCCCTCGCTTCCCTCTTTCCTTTCATGCTTTTTTCCTTCCTCGCTCACTTCTTACCTCCTTCTTTGTTTCCTCGCTTTCTTCATAAATTTCTTCCTCACTTCCTTTCCTCCTTCCTTCCTTGCTTCATTCCTTCCTTCCATGCTTCCTCGCTTGCTTTCTTCCTTGCGTCCTCGCTTCCTTCTTTCCTTCCTTCCTCACTTCCTTCCTTCCTCACTTCCCTCCTTCATTCCTTGCTTCCTTCCTTCCTCGCTTCCTTTTCCTCCTTCCTTGCATCCTCGATTCCTTCGTTTCTTCCTCGCGTCCTTCCTTTGTCGCTTCATTCCTTCCTTGCTTCCTTCCCTCCTTGCTTTCTCGCCTTCTTCCTTCTTTCCTTCCTTACTTCCTTCCTTGCTTTTTTCCTTCCTTCCTTTCTTGCGTCTTTGCTTGCTTCCTTCTTTCCTTGATTCATCGTTTCCTTCCTTCTTTGCTTCTTGGCTTCCTTTCTTCCCCGTTCCCTTCCTTGCATCCTTCCTTGCTTCCTCAGTTCCTTCCTTCCTTGCTTCTTCGCTTCCTTCTTTCCTCGTTTCCCTCTTTCCTTCCTTGCTTTTTTTCTTCCTCGCTCCCTTCTTTCCCCCTTCTTTGCTTCCTCGCTTCCTTCACAAATTTCTTCCTCACTTCCTTCCTTTCTTCCTTCCTTCCTTGCTTCATTCCCTCCTTCCATGCTTCCTCGCTTCCTTCCTTGCTTCCTCGCTTTCTTCCTTGCTTCATCGCTTCCCTCTTTCCTTGCTTCCTCGCTTCCTTCCTTCCTCATTTCCCTCCTTCCTTGCTTCCATCCTTCTTCGCTTCCTTTTTTCCTCATTCCTAGCTTCCTCGCTTCTTTCGTTTTTTTCCTCACGTCCTTCCTTTCTCGCTCCATTCCTTTCTTGCTTCCTCGCTTCCATCTTTCCTCCTTCCTTGCTTCCTCGCTTCCTTCTTTCCTTGCTTCATCGCTTCCTTCCTTCCTCACTACCCTCCTTCCTTGCTTCCATCCTTCTTCGCTTCCTTTTTTCCTCATTCCTTGCTTCCTCGCTTCTTCCGTTTTTTTCCTCACGTCCTTCCTTTCTCGCTCCATTCCTTTCTTGCTTCCTCGCTTCCATCTTTCCTCCTTCCTTGCTACCTCGCTTCTTTCTTTCCTTGCTTCATCGCTTCCTTCCTCACTTCCCTCCTTCCTTCCTTGCTTCCTTCCTTCCTCACTTCCTCCTTTCCTCCTTCCTTGTTTCCTCGTTTCCTTCATTCTTTCCTCGTGTCCTTCTTTTCTCGCTTCATTTCTTCCTTGTTTTCTTCCCTCCTTGCTTCCTTGCATTCTCGCCTTCTTCCTTCCTTCCTTCCTTACTTCCTTGCTTTTTTCCTTCCTTTCCTTGCGTCTTTGCTTGCTTCCTTCCTTCCTTGCTTCCTCATTTCCTTCCTTCTTTGCTTCCTGGCTTCCTTGCTTCCTTACTTGCTAGCTTCCCTGCTTAATTCTTTACTCGCATCGTTCCTTCCTTGCTCCCTCGGTTTCTTCCTTCCTTTCTTCCTCAGATGCTTCCTTGCTTGCTTCCTCGCTTTATTCCCTCCTCGCTTTCTCGTTTCCTTGCTTCCTTCCTTCCTTCTTTCCTTCCCTCCTTCCTTCCTTTTTTCCTTCCTTGCTTACTTATATTACTCCCACCTTCACTTCTTCGATTTACTTCCTCCATTCTTTACTTGCTTGATAACTCAATTACTTACTTCGTTGCTTGTTTACTTCCTCACGTCCTTGCTTGCTTTCTTGATTATTTACATTCTTTCATATGGCAGTGGAAAGACACATTTTGATGAAAACCTGCAAACGAACAAACGAACGAGGAAAGAACGCACGGATGGACAGAAGAACAGCCGAAAAACAATGAATGAACAAACGGACGGATAGGCGGCCAAAAGAACGCATGAAGGGAAGATAGAAGAAAACAATTTACAAAAGATCGAACCCACGCACGCAAGAACGTAGTTACAAACGAACGCACGAATGAACGCACTCACGAACGAACACACAAACAAACGCAAAAAGAACGAACAGACAAACGCACGCATGAATGGACGGTTGAACGAAAGCACGCACGGACGAATGGACGGATAGACGGACGAACCCACGAACGAAAGGGCAGTCAGACGAAAGCAAGCACGAACGAACGGTCGGTCGAATGCACGCACGAATGAACGGTCGGACAAAGAAACCAATGAAATATATGCGTCCTTAGAAGTATAATCCTTGGAATAGTTAATTATGTAGAATGTACATTTAAAAATTTGATCATGCCGCTGACAGATGGATTAGACTGCCTGAAGTTGAAGAAGAAATATTTGTGATGTTGCCATAGAATGATATGTAATGTGATTGTCATTAATACGTTATTTGCACTTTCGTGTACGTTCATATAAAGAAGCTCACTATATTCATGGAATAATGATGAAGCTTTCCTCGTGATCGAAGCGGGTAGTCGTGAAATTTGCTCGTGTTTTCAGCGGGGCCTCCTCATTTTTTCAGCGGGGCCACTGGAACACCTTTAATAATGTATTTCGACCCCCATGGCAGGTGTCATTGTCCAGTAACTTATCAATACAGACCATCTTGATCCGATATTTATTATGGAGTATGTAAATCGTATTTATTGCCTTTATTTTAACGATAAAAGTAATATATGAACAGTAAATTATGCAAACGTGCATGTTGACGCCCCTTTCCTTCATGCAAGTAAAAAATAATCATTTTTCATGTCATTTTTTGTCAAATATGTCTGTTTTCAAAGTTTTGCTGGAGTATCAAAGAACGGTAATAAGTATTCTCATCCTTTTGGTTCATTTTCCAAAGTGATACAAATAAACAGGACTATGCTCGCGATTTCAGCGGGAACTTGCTCGCGACCTTTCAATCATAGCGGGGCTTTAGATACTACCCGTGCTATACATCAATACAGTGATGAGTATAGGTCAACAAGATACTAGTGTGCATATAAATGTAATAATGAAAGCAGAATACTCATTTTGAAAAATCAGATGAATTATTTTTTCTCATGGTGAGATCACAATTAAATATGCTTATGGTCATTTCTTGCAATTTCAATGTGGCCCCAAAGGATCTGATTCTGCCTGCAAATAAGTTAATGTAAAAGGTTACGTCCCCGGGTGGGCTTGAACCACCAACCTTTCGGTTTCGAACGCGCTAACCGATTGCGCCACGGAGACTGTATACTGTGTATGAATATAACATCATGCACGGTGTCCGATACTACCCAACGTAAATCGTTCCGGACTTGTTTTTCATAACCATTTGGACTTGATTTATGAAAAAAAGTAGAGGTAGGTTTGTAAATTTGGTTATGAAATTGCTTTCACTTGACTTTATGTAAATATAATACAATTAGATAACTTATCATACTATATACCCTAACTTCAGGCACCCACGAACGTCTTTTTTGTACGGACCGTTTGCTATAGTCTTGTTATTTCGGGATATATGCGATTCTGTCAGTGTTTTCACCTATTTTGCCTGATAATCACCAGCCTGCCTTGTATCCAATGAATACACCGATTCATAGTGAAAGTAGCCATATTGTGAACGAAAATCATGATTTAAAGTGGTTTAATTGAGTAGCAATTGTCGAAAGAATATTTTTTAGATTTAACCATTTGGACGTGACCTAAATATTCCAGTTAATGATGTTGACTTGTTATTAAACGTTTCTGACTTGTGTTATTGGAACGTTTCTGACTTGTAGAACACAATGAACCATTTTTAAGTGTGGAACCATAAACTTTATAGATTTCCAACAAATCATCAGAGAGTGGATGAGGACAGTGGAAGAAGTTGTCTGAGTGATACTATCTAAATGATCGTCATTAATTAAACGTATTAGAGATACTTGTCAATACCCTTTGAACTGCCTATGGACTTGGAGACTGGATTTTATCTATCCCATATCATTTGAGAATGAATGCTCTATCTTGTATGAGTACTTGTATCTAAAACTATTTTTGATGTTATGAGTATTGGATATCAATTTCTAATTTTTTCTTCAACATGTATTGTAATGACTTCAGTATGAATGAAATGTCCCTTGGTGTTTTGGTCTTGGATTGTGATATCGGTTCTTGAATGGTGGGGGAAAGGGGGTATTAGACATTGTTTCTTTTCACGTTAGATCATGGTTTTGGAATATATGGGGTTTGTTTTTCTTAACTGGTATGCACTTAGAGTTTGCTTTTTCTTGCTAAGTTCCATTACAACTTTTGGTCCTTTCACTTTGGCACTCGTGCTTAGATATATTTCACTTTTTGTGTTTTGCCTCTTCGGTTTTTAAAGACTTCACTCGTCACTCTTTTTAATTTGCCTATGAAAAATGTGAGCATAAGTTTGCCTCAAATAATACTTTAAAACGCCCTTATTGGCTTTAAACTGACTTTCATGCTTATATTAATGCCTTTATCACGAAAGGGGGCGTCCCTCTTGAAGTGTTCAAAGAATATATTTTTATCTGCACTTTTAAAACTACATTCGTGGCACTTGTTTCTGGGAACTGAAATTACAAAATGTTAGAATATTTAGTATGAAAACTCATCAAAAACATAATAATACTAAATGCAATTTTTCCAGAAGTATAGACAATTCATCAAGCAACGGAACGTATAAATACGATTACAAGACAATTCCTAATCGTTATTTTTATCACGTTGTGTACAAGTCGCAGTCGTTCACCTAGTGATTATTAGGGTCAAGATTGCAGTAAAAAATCCCATTGACGACCATTATAACGTTTCATTTCATAATATATTCATGGGCACAGATCTAGCTCAGCGAAACAGTGCCCAGTGTTCATTGGAGTCTTGTCTAGCTTGCCGTTACAAAATAAGCATACGGTGACCACACCATTTTTGAGATAACTGAATCTGGAGAGAGCTACCACCGAAAAGCTACCTGTTTCAGAAAATTATTCTGCTCTACATAGTCTCAAAAATCACTCCGCCATCTATAAAAATTATGTTTCTAACCAAACTTGTAAATGTTTCCTGATAGATTAGTACTTACCCTATCGAGAATAAACCTTGATTCATTTATCAAACACTAGATGGCGCTGCGACAGGACAGAAAAGGAGAAAAGCTTTTTTATACAGAAAACCAAATAACCAACGGTAACCGCTAGTATCCCTACTCCGGACTATATTCTATAAGACAAGTCCGTGTCAGAATAAGGACCATTCGCCGTCGTTAACTCCACTTTTTACATTACGGTCATTTATGGAAATTTAGAGGTACAGATAGTTGAAATATTAACACGATCTTTAATGTAGTGAATATTGTTCCACGTTATAAAATGATTTTTTTGTTTAAACATAGTTAAATGACACTAATGCAGATTGAGAGCATATTTCTGGCATTTTTGTTATTTAATGCCGATAAATATGAACTATGATGGCACGATCGCCAAAATAGATATGTGGGTATGAAAAAGAATGTTTTAGGTAGAGGTTATAATAGTGTATGTATTTTTCTAAATGATTGAATAATATAACCTTTTTGAGCCATTCTGATGAATGTCTCATCTCATTCTCCTACGAAATGAGTCCAAATGGTTATGAAAAACAAGTCCGGAACGATTTACGTTGGGTAGTATCGGACACCGTGATCATGGATCGCTATCTCTGATTAAAGTTAGTGCCCATTGTGTGGTTTAAAGTTGTACTCAAACCATTTTACTGGCGCCGGTCGATGAATTGGAGCAAATGTGACCAAGGCATTTCCGTATGAAGGCCACACTTTACGATGGTGAACCATCAACAATTCCAAAAGTTCATTTTATCAGAAACCTCTTGAGAACATGTATGCCTATAGTCTTGCATAGATCCCTAGTTCAAGAAGATGAGTAATCTCCTTGAACGTGCCCTGATATGTCCTTGACCAATATAACGTTGACCTTGACCTCAGGTCATCTAATCATGGGTCACCAAGGGCCAAAGCAGCCCTAGCTAGTATGTATCCAACATACTTACTAGAAGTCAGTCTGTTATGATGCACTACCGTCCTGTGGAAATTGCAGTGATTTTTTGCACAAAATTATCAATTTGAGGAAGCATTAGTTCACAAAAAAATGAACATTATAACACCTGAAATAAGAAGTAAGGTACAATCAAATGCAATAGAGAGCAACATAAAATATTGTCAAGTGGAAATCAAGCTAGTTGAAGTAACGAATATGCAAACTAATTTACTCAATCGGCCATTTTGAATAGCACTGCCTAAGTAATATTATGAATTACCGAATCATAACATATATTGCTTATAGTCTGAATATATTCAGCCTAAATAGGATATAGTCTAATAGCAGTTCCGAAGGTCTCAAAACGCCAATTACACGGTGTTATAGCATGACGGTTACGACACCTCTGAAAACGAGATTAGACGACTACGATCACTGATTTATCCAATAAAATCGCCGCGATGGAACAAAAAACTAAGGTTGGTGGATTATTTGCTTCTACTGTGTATCAATGAAAGATTTTTGTAGGCATCGCATTCGGTGATGCATTTAGTAATGTATATTTTGAACGTATTCTTTGCAAATTGATGCCCGGGGATAACATGAAATAAACGGAAAACTGTTGAGTTTGAAATTCAAAACTACACAAAATTTAGTAATTTGTTTATTTTTGTCGTAAGGGCATGGTTTATATTGCATAATGACCTCGGGGTATATAGATGTAACCTACATACGATCATAAAAAGCCAATTGAGCATTGGAAACCACCTAATATGTTCTACTTAAGCCATAATATTGTAGTTTTAATTTGCGGTTACGCAAAAAATTGATTGACGGTTTCGCGAAGCTCGTTCAAATATGTATCCCAGATTCATTGTTTAATTTTGTCATATTCATCAGTACTTGATACGAATTCTTCTTTTGCCTCTTCATAGCTATATTTTTGACTTAAATTGGTTTCAT